TTATTACTTTATATTATATAATAAGGTAATAATATATACTTTACTATATAGACATATTCATAAATAATATATATATATATATATATTTATATATATATATATATGAGTATATACTCATCGTACGCAGTCGTCGAATCCATTCCTTCAATCACAAAACACTAACAAGGTAACCACTGCAAAGTAGATGCCAGCTACAAATAATTAAATGACCAAATTACACGGTTAAAATATAACCAAGTAACAACCAAAGAAAGTGTTTGTGAATAACCCTCACGTCCCTTCATAAGAACGATTCGTTTTGTAAGAGCACGCCTTACTATTTACGTACAGCAGGACAAAAAACAACTAGCATGGCAGAGGTAGCATGCACACATTACGACAGATATTGAGGTAGCCAGCATTAATGGGCATTGCCTAATCTATCCTCGCCCATTAGAATAAACACAATTACATTACAACAAAGTAAAGACAGCAATAAAATGTTAATGACCGCAACGATAAAAAACATTTACAGCTTTCAGTAGGTATAAGAGACTCAAGTAATTAAACGGGCAGCCTTCACCACCCACCTTCTTCTGGGCACTGCCAAATCGATACTTGCGTACTTTTAAGGCAGATATCCACTTACACACAGCCATACCCATAAGGATACAGTCAGGGTTATGGACAGGTACCTCTGTAAGGGGTATTGCAACATAAATACTCATCAGATTCAATCAAACTCAAATCTATTTAAAATAATAAAAGAGATGAAAAAAAAACTTTCATCGCTTCAAACTTCATTACGTGATGGCAAAAATTGTGAATTTATATAAAAAATGTTTTTTTTTCTCATTTCTCAGAAACTGCAAAGGGTTGGGACCTAAACCTTTAGCAATATGTTGTTCATACTATAAACTAAAAAACAGTCCCTGGAATTTAAAAAAAATGTTTCAATCTAGGATATAAGTTGAAAATATGCACGAAAATTTGTATGTTTTTAAAAACAACAATTTCGTATATAAAGAGCCATATAACTTCTAAAATATAATATTTCATAAAAATTTCAGGGACCATTTTCTCCTTTAATAATAAAGGAGAAAATGGTCCCTGAAATTTTTATGAAATATTATATTCATTAATACGTTCTCTTTAAAACGGAATTTTTTTTGGAATCGGAGTCGAGTTTCGAGAAATAGCCTTTGAAAAATCAACAAATTCAGCATTTCTAACAACAAAGATACGTATTCGCAATTTTGTACATTTCACAATGCTTGAACGGCTGTGTTTCGCATTGACCAAGGAAAGTAGAATTGCTACTGTTAGTACTTACTGCGACTTATCTGTAACCGTTTAACATCAACAAACTTAAAAAAAGTCCTGCTGTTATAAATAAATAGACAAAATAACTGATCGGTTTCAATCTCCCATTCACCAACCACTAATTAATCCGTTATCGCCTCTATGTACACAAACATGCGTAGCAACAGCAGTTGAAAACAGCTGAACAGCGTTTCTAATTGATTCGGGTGCTGTGGTGGTACGCTGTATAGTTTGGGATAACGCACGCTCACGCATCACTATTTAAAGGCCGTTCTGGGGTTTGCAATATCCAGGTAAGCATATGCGGAGATTTTGAACTGTTTGGGAGGCTACATACATAATATCAGAAGTAGATAATAGGGAAGGAGTGTGTCTTCAATAAACAAGGGAAATTCGTCATCTACTAGCCTTAGAATACCTACGATTTGCTATGCGTAGCTCAACCAACTTGAGCTTAAATCGTACACAGTACATTCGCCTAGCATCGTGCGAAATCGTTTCCTCGTATACACCCGCAATCCGGAGATACAGACTAAAACGTACGACACGATTCTCCATTCTGTTGCCAGCAAACCGAATGTATAAACCGCCTAACTTGAAACAAAAGGCAGCTACTAACGACTCATGCGGTGTGGCTCGCTGGGAGATTGGATATCGACGCAACACTCGGCGAACTAATCTTTGACCTAGCTGCCTTTTGTTTCAAGTTAGGCGGTTTATACATTCGGTTTGCTGGCAACAGAATGGAGAATCGTGTCGTACGTTTTAGTCTGTATCTCCGGATTGCGGGTGTATACGAGGAAACGATTTCCAACGATGCTAGGCGAATGTACTGTGTACGATTTGAGCTCAAGTTGGTTGAGTTACGCGTAGTAAATCGTAGGTATTCTAAGGCTAGTAAATGACAAATTTTCCTTGTTTATTGAAGACACACTCCTCCCCTATTATCTACTTCTAATAATATCTACGTAGCTGCCAATGGGCGCCATCTATCAAATAAAATGGGTATTGAAATTTCGCCGGAATATAACCTAACAACCCTGAATGTATTCTTAAACCGTGCGGGTACACTCACGCATAAAACTGTGCTGGTGTTTCGAGGCATCGTACGTCAGCACCTGCACACATTAATACCAACCTGAACACATTTCTCAATCGGTCGCTGACAACAACACTGTGGGCCACATCCGCTTCTGATTTCAATATGCAAATTGCGCAGGTTGCAGACAAGAAATCGGCTAACGCGCTTGTGCATGCTCCTAATCGCATTCATCAACTTCGTACATTTACCCTGATCTATAGAGTAACGGTATACTTGCCGATATTAAACAATCTCACAACATGGTCATGGGATGGTACTCGGTTCTAAACATGTCTTGATAGTATTTGTTTGTACAGTGACAATGAAAATAACCAGCCATGTGGCTCCAAATGTATAGACAACGGGGCAATCCTGACGATTAGCACATTGTACACTATGACATTTCCACAGTAAACTACATCTAAATTTACTAGCTAAGAGTCATTGGGCAGAATCAACACTGGAGATGGGAAGCAATTACCCAGAGTAATTTAGGTAACTCACTTTACAGTTATTCCCATTAACAAAAAGGGACCGAGGAATACCATCTGTACTAACCTGACAAATGAATAAAAATGCATGGCTGAAAAAAAAAGTTAGCAAATGTGGGGCACATCATATCGACATAAACCAAAGCAGTGGAAGAGGAGAGGATAAGAAGGAGTGATGGATGCAGAATGTGGGGTGCTGTGATACACCACCACCTACACAACAATCTCTGGTTTGCTGGCCATTCGTGCTTCTTCATGAGCAACTGTTTGTGCCTCTACGAGTTCCTGCAGGAACTTCATACAGTTCTCTTTCTGCTCCACATGTGATTTCTTCAGGTTTTCCTTCTCCTTCGAGTGACGCATGGCGAGCCGCTTGCGTTCCTCGATGAATTTCTTTGTGTTTGTCTGCACTAGCTCGCGCACCCGGCGCTCACGTTCTGCTTTGTTCTTGATAGATTTGTCGTTGTTCACCGCCTTGCTCGCATCCATTGACTGTTTTGCCTGCACTCCTTTCAGCTCCTTGTTCTCCTTCTCGAGCTTTGCATCAAGTTGCTTTAGCTGCTGCTCCTGCGCAAATTCAAGCAGTTTGTTGAGGACATCACACTGCTGTTTTGTGTGCTCATGGAGTAAGTCATGCTCCTCCTTCAGCTGCCGCATGATCATTTCCGACCACTCGCTCGTCTGCTCACTTACCATCTCCTTAACCTTTTCCTTGTGTGTGTTAACAAGGGTCTGGATCTTAGCCTCTGTCTCCGATTTGACATCATTGCAGTTGCCCTCCCCTTTCTTCCTGATTGCCTTCTCAAGGTTCTTCTCCTGGCACTGCTTCTCTCGGTCGTGCAACGCGACGAGCTTGTCGACGGACATGCAGTGCACTTTTTGCATGATCCCGCGCTCACGGCCAAACTTTTTTCTCAGTGTCTCCATCTCTTTCTGCTGCCTCCGCAGCAGCTTATCATAGCACTTGTCCTTCATAAGAGCATCTGGCTTGATAACTTCAAAGACGACCTCCTCAGTGGCCTTCCTCTCATCAATGCTCACCTGTGCCTGTGCCTTTGAGTTGTTTGCTACATTGCTGCTATTTGACTTTAGGTCTTTGCGCAGTGGCGCATCGCCTATGTCGCTCTCAGCAATGCCCATCTGCTCCATCTGCTTGGCGCGCTTCTCCTGCGCCGACAGGAACTGTAATGGTGCTGACAAAGCATCGACAAAATCGCCGAAGCCATCTGGGACGTATGTCTTCAGCACAATGCAGCAGAAGACTGTCGGTAAGGACATCGGGAAGTTGCCCTCTGTGCGCAGCGAGATATGTCGGTAACCAGCCTTGAGTCCATCGAGCGGCAGGATGCGCTGGCCGAGCAGCTTGCCGTTCTCATCATGCACACCGATGCGGATAGCAGCCAGGTCCGGCAGCACTACTTTGCGGAACACGAACGGCTCTTCGTTGTAGACAGGATTGAGGCCATTGTTAGGCACAAGGCGCGTGCGGAACTCTTTCCGAATGGTATCTGTCGGCAGTCCATACATGTCGACCTCAACGTAAGTCCCCACCTTCTTATCGGAGAGAAACTGGCCGGAAATCACTTGCACCGAGCAATGTGCTGCGATCACTCCATCGACAGGCGACTCTGAGAATGGATCAAAGGTCCTGTCGGGCCGCCTCATGAAGTCAGGCTTCAGCAGGTAGCCGCAGCCGCCGTTGTACTCAAACTTGCCCTGGTTCAGCTGCATCGATAGGTCTGGCGTCTGGAAGTTAAGCGACACCATTTGGCATCCGGCGTTCCAGAATATCTGCGGCAAGTAGTTACTCGAGTCAACACGGCCACCCTTCGGGTAGATGCGACTCAGCTGACGCTTATTGTAGTTGACAAACTCTATACAGCTTGTCTTCAGCAGGCCAAGACCCGTCGATTCATTGAATGACGACATGTTATAGGAAATGTTCTTTTCTTCAGCGATGTCAAAGCCCTGGAACTTGACTGGCTGTGCGTAGTTGACAAATGACGAGAGCAGTGGGTGAATGTTTGTTGTGGCACCAGTGTAGTGGTATTGCTGCAGCAGCTGCTGTTCATCCTCGTTCGACAGGGTGCCCTTCTTCGTTGTGTCATTGATCTCATCAGTTGAGTCGATCAGTCCGTTCTTTAACTCAATCTCGTTACTTGCAACCGACTCAGCCTTTGTGACGACCTTGTGAGCAACTTCTGGGTGAGCCTCATTGTCCTCAGGCTTCATTGGCGGCGGCAACTCGCTCACCAGCGGGCCCTCTTCGCCATCAATCACCACCTCAGGATCTTCGACAATGATGTTCTCATCCGTAACAATGTCGACCTGTCCCACCTTCCACAGTTCAAGCTGCTTCTTTTCCACGTCAGGCTTCAGCCGCTTGTTCTTGATAAGGATCTTCTTGCGCAGCGCATACGGGCATGGCAGTGGCTTGTTGGCCCCGAGACCAAACCCTTCCAGCGGCGCTTTCAGCAGGTAGTCACCAAATATCTCTTCGCAGTACTTGGCCATTTTATACTGCTGCGGTTTGCTGCAGTGGTTCTCGAACGAGAGGATCAACGGGTACTCAGACGTAGTGAATGCTGTGTCCGCAATTGCCAGGATCACGTCCTTGAAGAGAACATCTGTGCACATTGCCTTGCCGTGTGTAATGATTGGCTCTTGGTCCTCGTTTTTCCCGTCCCAGCAATCAAGCTCTACACAGCGGCAGCCTGCCAGGAGCACCTGCCGATAGATGTACACGGCCGATTTGCCACCAAACTGGCGCCCAACAAGGTAAGTGTTGTGAGACGAATTGATCAGATAATGGCAAGCTGGCTGATCCATATCCTGGCAAATCTCAAGTCGGTCGAGGAAGACAGGGGCATTCTCGTCTGACATAAGGTAGCGGCAAAGGCCATCAATGCTTAATCGCTCCTGCTTTATGCACTCAGCATTTGTCTCATATGTCTCAATCAGCTGCACGACGCGCTTGTGGTCGAAGAACGGGAACAAGATCTCATTCAGACGAGGATCACGCTGCCGCTCATTAAGAAATTCGATCAGCTGTGGCACACTAAGAAAGTCCTTGCCACGCGTGACTTGCCTCACAAGGTCTTCAATGTCAGTACGTGGGCAGATCTTGTGATAGAGCTCATAAAACTTCTCGAATGTAAACTCCATGCGTGCAATTTCATCGTTCTTGCCGCTAGAAAAGCCAAGCTCTTTCAGTGACTGGAAGATCATCTTCTCAGTCTTCCCAGATGCAAACGTCTTTGTGATGCTGCGTACAGGGATGTTGCCATTAGGGTTCGTCGCAAGTGTGAGCTTCAGCCAGTGTTTCATAATGCTTGTCATAGGGCATACATTGTTTGCCTTGTTGTTGTTGTTCAGCTTACGGATACCCTGTACCCACTGCCAAGCAATGTCAGGGTCAGCACACACTAGGTGAATGTAGGTGAGGTTAACGAAGTCCAGGCCATGACACAGTGTCAACGTCCGGTCCTCAACGAGCGGCATGCTATCCTTCGTGAACTGCTCTGTAATTTTCGGGTCCGTGGGACGGCCAATGATCGAGGCGCCGGATCCTATGAATACGTCACTCACCTGGGCGAGTTCAAGCACTTGCGTGTCCTTACCGTCGCAGCTCCAATAGATGAAGAAGCCATACTCATCAACTTTGAACGTGCAATTTTTCTCAATAATACCGGTGTCTTCCTCCCAGCGGTCAAACACCTGACCCATCTGCAGGACTTCCGGTACAGGTCGTTGCCACTGGAACTCATATATCTTCGCCATTGTGTGCTGGCAGGAGTTGCTAGCCCAACTCAGCAAGATGTCGAGACATTACAACATAGCAGCACCTGAAAAACAAGAATTTTAGTATTAGCAATATTTCGATTTCTTTAAATATTAGTATTTGTTCTGCACCACACCTGCAAGTCTCAAGACAAAGAGACGGTAATAAAACTGCATTACAAAAGTATTGTTATACAGAAAATTGTGTAATGAGAACATCTGTAACGTGGATCACATTGTTCAATTGACTAATATAATATAGGCTATTATAGGGGTGTAATGATACGATATGATACGTATCACGATATTTTTTTCACGATACGATACGGCACGATACACAAACGATACACCACAGTGTTTCCTCTGGCCAAAAAGGTCAGCTAGGCGGTAAATTATTTTATGGTGGTTGCGCAGTCCGAGAAGCGAGCAATGCGAGCACCAAAGGTGATCGCGATGCTAGGGGGGTCCAGGGGCATGCTCCCCGTAAAATAAAATAAAAAGTGCAATTTGCTGCATTCTAAGCTATTCTGAACACATTATATGAGACTCTTGAATCAATTTTTCAAGTTGTCAAAAGGAACAAACAAGCTTCTGGGAAAGGTTTTACTTTGGTTTTTCTCCTCCCCAGTCCTCGGTACCACCATGCATAGATCAATGCTGCTGCATATCCGCAAAGTTACAAGTACATAAAATCTTGAAGTATATAGAGTTTACATTGCTTCTAGATATCTAACTAAATAAAAATAGTCCACTTTCTACATAAAGAAAAGTGACGAATTCAGTTAACAGCTTTGATTACGTGCGTGTCAGGTGTCACTGGTCGTGCCCTCACTCCCCACGATAACCCCTGCGACATATGAACTTATTGTTATACGGGCTTCAAAAACACTAGACTACAGTACATGCTGCCACAATCGATTTCTTAGACTGTCATGAGGTTTTATTTGTGTGGCTAATCATGCGTTGAGGGAGTTGATATTTTGGATACCCTGTCTACGTTCAGGCACGGGGCGTTTTAGAATGTGCTCCCGTTTACAATTCTGTCTAAACTGCCATTGCGATAACCATAGTATTTCAGCGTAATATGAGGGGAAAAAGTGACGGTCAGGAGGACCGGCAGTTTCGTAGAGATGTTGGCCGAAGCAAAAACTTGGTGGCCTTGGGCCTCCGGGTCGGCACTAATTTCGAACGCTGTCAATAAAGTGTAGTTTATTCATGGAAGAACAGTGATTTTCGTCAGTGAGGCGGTATTTTTGGATAAATTTCTGCGTGGCGGCTGAGATTTGAGCGAGGCGGCTGCCTCGCTCGTGTCAATGCAGGGGAACCGCTGCACCATAACAACACACGAGTGAATACAAGACTGAACACTGCTTTTACGTAGCGCTTTATAATATAAATAAAAACATCTGGTACACTCCTAGTACACTGGATAGTTAGGAACTTAAATACAAATGTAGATCAATTACCAAAATAGTTTCTCATTCAGAAACACAAATTTAAACAAATTTACTGTATTGCAGGATGACCTGCATGATGTGTATGTGGCTTCACTACTAATCAGTTTGATGTTTCTAATCACTAGGCTGATAAAATTACAGTTCAATGTTTCTAATCACTAGCTTGATAGAATTACAAGTTCACGTTTGACAGGTTTGCCCACTTCTGCCATGACTCAGTGCAGATGATATTCGTTGCCAACTTGTCACACGTCATTTGATTGGTCGTTGCTATTTCCCTTATCCAATCAAGCCAGTGTGTTTATCGCATTCTCAGATATGTACCGGTTCCCGATCGCTAACTTGCCAATGCTGTCTTTGCAGAGAGCATTGAATATATGGCTATGGGTATCAGTCTACCTACAATGACTTCCGCTATACTTAGACCAGCAAACGTATACACTTTAAATACTTTCAGCAAGAGCGTACGGGATGCTGATAGTAATTTATGTTGGGTATATCGCGATACGCATCTGAAAATATCGTGTATCGTATTGCGGCCAAAAATATCGATATATCGATTAAATGTTACACTCCTACTAATATATAAATGTTTTCAATATATAATTGGAGATAATTGGATTCTACAAATAAGATTGCAGCTGAAATATCTAGATAATCCCCGATTTCCCCTAAAGCCTGGGTATGGCATGTTTTTTGTTTCATAATTCGATTTTTGTTTTATGGTTGATTTGATCACATATAACATTCTATTTATCACATATAACATTCGATTTGTCACATATAACATTTGATTTATCACATATAACATTTGATTTATCACATACAACATTTGATTTATTGCATATAACATTTGATTTATCGCATATAATATTTGATTATTTAATCATATGTTATATGCAATAAATCGACAATAATTCCCTGTTTTAAATGTTTACATTATTTAATTTTATATCAGAAAAGAGAATCAAACCATTCGATTTTGGAATCGAATCATTCGATCTGCGTTTTTCAAATTTTTTGCAAATTTCCATTTTTGCCAAAAAGTGGACGTGGCTCGAATGTAGCTCAACTGGCATGCTCCAAAATAGGGCATTCAAATCTCTCACATAGGAGTAACAACTGTATGTAATTTGAAACATGTAGGTCAAACGGTTCTTGAGTTATCATTGACCGTAGTCAGACACTGGCGTGCTCCAAAATAGGACGTTCCAACCTCTCCCATAGTAGTAACAAGTCTATGCATTTTGAAACATGTGGGTCAAACGGTTCTTGAGTTATCGTTGATCGTAGCCAAATGTTGACGGACGGACGGACGCACGTACGACGGACGACACCCCATGGGATTAGCTCATCTTGACGATGTCAAGGCGAGCTAAAAACACATGTCGCAGCCCGCCACAACTTTTTTCCTGTTTTTGCGCACCGCGAAAAAACGGCGATGGACCATTATCACAAGTGATCCCTTTCTTGGATTTTCCCAACTTGGGACCTCTGCTATTGTCCAGCTGCTTATTCTAGTGATAACACATTGTCTCTCAACGTGCACGTGGGGCACATTGGGGGTATGTTATTACAATAATATCGAGGAGATCAGGGGCGTAGCTAGGGTGAAATGGATGTGTACGCACACAGGCAGGGGGTCTGGGGGTCCTTCCCCAGAAAATAGTGAAAATGTAGATCGCAGGAGATGGTATTTGAGGCACTTTTGAGTAAATGTACAGCCTTCATTCTTACTACGGCAATTATCTTTTTAGTAGAATTATTCTCTTCATGAGCAACAAGATGTGATCCCTAAAGATCACTATAACTAATCATGTAATTTTCGTTTTATTATCAAGACATGTTGAACTAACGCACATTCTTAAACTCTCTCTTTCTCTCTCTCCCTCTCTGTGTGCGTGCGAGTGAGCGTATGCATGTGCGGGTGCGTGTGGGCACGTGTGTGTGCTCAAACACACACACATCACTCATTGCACATCACATCACATAACGGTCACAGTCACTTGGAGCGTTTCAATACAATATAATGCTAAACAAGTGCCGCAGAGCGACTGAGCAGTCTGTTGCTACGGTTATAAACGTAACATTTCAGTCGTGCGTAGTGACACCCTTGTTAGACGCAGATATGCAGATACGCAGTTGCGTACACATCATTTCGGCAAACTTTTTTTTTTTATTGCAGAGAGAAAGAGCGAGAGAGAGGAAGAGAGAGAAGGGGGCAAGAGAGAGAAAGAGAGAGAGAGAGAGAGAGAGAGAGAGAGAGGAGAGAGGGAGAGAGTCAGTCAGACTAAATTGTTTATAAACAAATAACACCCACGAGGCGCGCTACTGTATCAGTTACGTCATCGATTGAAATGTACATTATGATTTCGCCGCACGGCGTCCAAACTTTCAACAAAGATGGCGGGCAGAGGTAAGGTAGACGCACGTATAACGTACAGATTTCTTCAATGTCGGGGAGGATCAACACATTTCGACTGACAGTCAACCATTGGGCTCTGCAGCATCCACAAGCCAGCATGCTCCACCATATCCCGACATTGCACACTACTGTAACGTTGACGGAGAGAGCCATGCCAAGGACAGTACAAAACTGGCAAATTTTTATTGGTAGGTTTGACGATTCAATTCTGCAATTACTTATCTCAATATTGATTAAGCTGAAGTTAAGAAAGTAATTCTTTCTGCACTTTTGAGCGCAATATACATTTGATCTATCCTGCCGGGACATTCTTCTCACTCTGTTCCGATAGATGGCGTGCATACTGCATCGTATTACGTAGACTGGTACCCGGTCCCACCTCTCGGCTTAGTTACTCGATGGGGTGAGTAATCGAGGTGGGAGCGAGTACCAGTCTACGTTTAGCCCATGCTGTGATACTATCAGCCATGCTATCAGCCACCCACCTGCGAGGTAGTACTATTTATAGTTGGCCTTAATCAAAAACAGACGTTTGCGTAAGTGCTATTGACATTGTATTAACAAGGTACAGAATCTCATATAGAGAATGAAGTTCATATATGATTTAAGGCGCGTAAACGTTGTTCAAGTAAGTTTTGCATGCAGAATTTCACTGTGAAATTTAAGTCTTCCACGATCACACAAGTACCATCAAACACAGTTCAGTCCTTTGTTAAAACAGTTAACAAATCCATGTTTAACCCTCCTCTTGAGGCTCAAAAGGTTATCAGACACTTACTCTTCGCACGTCAGTGGAAAGCACATTTCATGGACCTTTCAATAAAGCCATAAAAATGGTAGGTCACCGCTGAAACAAAAAAGTTTTCCAATCGCTCCGTCAGACCATGTCCTCAGAAAATGACTAAAATCTGCCCTGTGCCCCATTGACCTTTGATCTGTGACCTCCAATTTCGGCACAGTGATGGCTTTTCCTACCATGATGCTATACACCGACTATCACGAGCCTAGATCGAGCCGTTTAGATTTGTGCCGCAATTCTACATTTCCTCCCTATACCTTAAGTTAAGGAGGGAATGTTTCCCCTTCTTTTACACCTCTTGACCTTTGACCCACAGCTTCGACATCCTAACTCGTTTTCGGATTACCCCCCACGTCCCGAATATCGTGACCGTACGTCGAGCGGTTAAGATTTCTGCCCAACTGTTGATGCACGCACGCACGCACGCACGGCCGGCCGGACGGACGCACGGACGATCATGTGATTCTACAAGCTGCATCTGACTAGATTCTACAAGCTGCATCTCACTAGATTCTACAAGCTGCATCTGACTACGTCAGATGAGCTAATAAATACGAAATCTATTTAGGCCTAAAAAAATAAATGATGTGTTTCCGAGAACGGTCTTGAAGAAATTAGGTAGGGTAGGTAGGGATTTTTTTTTTCTCCATAAGAACATCGAACACGTTGACAGTGGGAGTAAGGCAGGACTTTGGATCTAACTCTCTGTCATCCCTACAAGATCTGTCGTCATCGGCATCCGGAATGCATGAAACTGAGAAATCGGTATTCAAATGCACCGACAACAGGCGAGGAATACATTTTCGATTTGTCTTCCAACTTTGTCCACGGCCCGTTTTCAGTGGCTGCCATCTCGATATGGCATTCTGCAGTGGGTGTGCACGCATAATCTTGCTTTATCTGTTCAAAAGTCTCAACAGACAAAGCAGCAAAATGTCTGCTTGCCAGCACATTGTGCCTGGCACAATTCGTTTTTAAGATGCAGACGACGTAAGTGTTATATAGGTGATATAGTTTCGGTTCGTTTCGTGCTGCGGTGAAGCTTGAAGGCAACGTCAGACTTGTCTCTGTGTCTCGTGCGATGCGAGTCGTTGACGATGGAGATCACAGAAAACCCAACACGTCTTTATGGTAAAAGATGAGATGATATTTTATTCTACTCAGAGGCTACTGATGCAGACTAGTGTAGTACTGCATGAGAAACTGTAAACTTTGTAAGAACTTTGAAAAACTTGTCTCTCCGACGCTCTGCATGCTATTTTATACTCCCCCAAATAAATCAGCCCCTCCCCATGCCTGACCATTGGTCAGACACTTGATTTCTTCTGTTCGTTGATTCGTTAACTAAATTATTTCTACATGGTACACTATGACGTAGTTATGGTGTACTGGACTATGCTGCCATGATGGCGGCTAGTGGGACTCTACTGCACTAAAATATATCTATTTCTTTGGTGTAATGATCTCGCAAAGCCCCATATATAGAATGGGACTACGTGAGGAGCTTCTGAACTCGATCGTCACAAACGTATCACATGTGGTCAACACGCACGCTTGCCGCGTATTCCTGGCCTGCGCGCGACCAACCCGTGCTAACCTTACGTAATGACATGCCGCTAATACGCTCCGCGCGGTCAACGTTTGCTGCTGCTGATTGCTAATTTCAGTTCTACTTGCTCGCTACTTCTGTAATATTATTTAATTCTGCGCTCGCGCTTAGCGCAAATATCTATACATATGTTACCACAAACACCACGTATCTTTTCAAACTAACTCTACTCTCTTCCTTCTAATAATTCTAAACTACATTAACACTGTTACATAAGCTGTCGCCATCATGCAAACTGCCAGTTGCATCCGGGTCACCAAGACGCTCTCCCCTCACGTGATGTGCATCTGAGGTAGTGATTGGTTAATAGAAGAAGACTGGCCCCATTCGAAACATTTCGGCCCAGTCCGCAATGCGCTCCACTGACGTGGGTACGGAGTCGGCCGAGATGTTGCGATTGGACTGGCCCAACTCGACGTATACGCGCCGATCGATGTGTGCAATTTTTCGGACGTATTACTACCAGCGTTTCACTACCAGTAGTATATACTGGACAACGTTGTTCCTATGACATTGTATACAGAATGTCAGTGGTCCTGCCACTTGCATAAATCGAGTTTCACATGTACTGCAGTGAACAGGGACATCAACAATACCGCCGATAAGAGATCGACGCTGTTCGAGCTTTGTAGACAACTTGGTTGTGATTGTTGGGTCAAAATACGTCGATATACATTGCATCTAATAAACTGGAAATGTTTGCTTGTTTTTTGTTTTGATTTTTTTTGTTGAATTTTTTTTTACAATTTTTTTTTGATAAATTTTGCTCTTTTTTTGGAAAATAGAGAAAAAAAAGAGTCGGCCCTATTTGCTAGGTAGGGTCGGGTTCTCGGAAGCACATCTTTTTTTTAGGCCTTACTACCAAAGTCTTAATATTTCTCTACTCTCCTTCACCTATTATTGCCGACAAGCCGTGCTGCAAATGCTCCAGCCACAGCAAACGCAAGCAAAACTGCACGCACGCTGCTGCACGCTATGCACACTTACACATAAATATAGAGCAGGTAGGAAAGCGAGATGCCAAAATTCGCTCGACACTCGCTTGATTTCACACCGTGACACGTTTACAACACAAATATTCAACCATTCTACTCCATCTTTGTTTCTATTTGAAGGCCAGTGTTCACTTGTTACAACACCATGATACTGTCTGTGTTCGTAACCGAGCTGTGTCATGTGAAATCACACAAAGCCTGAAGAAATTCTCGCGTTCGCTCCCGTTGCGCAGTTAATGTAAATGGCTGCAAGTACAGGGCTATAGGTGGAGCACTGCATTTTGGGAAACTACCACACTGCTTTCCAGCTCCCGTACGAGCCTCGTTAAAGGAGCCAGTGGAGCGTTGCAATAATGCGACGCAAAATGAGGTCACGAAGAGCGCCGTTAGGTGTTTCCTAATTCCGACAGCCATTTACATTAACTGCGCAACGGAAGCGAACGCGTTAATTTCGTCAGGCTTTGTGTGATTTCGCGTGACACAGCTCGGTTACAAACACGGAAGGCCAATTCGATTATGTAGTCCGGACTCTTCACATTCTCCAGTCCGGATCCTACCGAATTTGTGTGAAATATAATAGCAGTGGCAAACCAAGATGGCGGCCCCCACGTTGTTGATTCTCAACGAGCTTCTTGATACTACAAAGATGGCGGCTCCACGTTGTTGGTTCTCAACGATGATACTACACATTTCAATCATACCGAGGGAAAAAGGGATCTATAGTTTTATTGTCAACATTGTAAGTATTAGTAACAAGAGCCGCAGAGCGACTGGGCTCATCTGAGGTGTGTCGCTATGGTTATGAACGTAAAATTTCAGTCGTGCGTAGTGACACAGATATGCAGATACGCAGTTGCGTACACATCATTTCAGCAACCGTCTGCATTCTGCATACCTCCCAAATCCCATTGGTTGATACAAATCGCATGCCTGAAACTCCTGTTTTATGGTGCATTGACCCTAACCCTAACCCTATTAAAAAAAAAATTAATTGTAAAAATCATTTGTAGTTATTCAATTGTTGTAAATAAATCATGTAAATATTTGCATTAATCGGAAAAAAAATTGTTGGATAGACAGAAACATACAGAAAACAGGTAAATAATAAAAAATCTGATGGGATTCGATCCAAGGACCTTTGAGCCGTAATCCTGTGCTGTACCCGTTGGCCTATCCATACATATTGGCTTTCTAGATTATGGATGTGCCACGAATATGAGAACACTGTGACATCATTGAGGCAGTTCAGGAATCCTTGTTTAACCCTCCTCTTGAGGGTCGAAAGGTTATCAGACACACTCTTCGCACGTCAGTGGAAAGCACATTTCATTGTCCTTTCAATAAAGTGATAAAAATGGTAGGTCAGCGCTGAAACAAAAAAGTCTTCCACGTCCGTTAGGCCATGTCCTCAGAAAATGTCTGATATCTGACCTATCCCCCACTGCCCTTTGACCTGTGACCTCCAATTTCGCACTGGTGATGGGTTTCCTGCCCATCACACTATACACCGAATATTAAGAGCATAGGTCAAGCCATTTAGATTTGTGCTGCAATTCTGCAATTCCTCCTTATACCTTAAAGTATTTACGTCACGAATCTCCTGAAATTTATAGTTGAAACCTTATTTTTGTAATTTTTTACATCAAAAGTTAGTACTAACGTTACTAAATATATCCTCAAACTCTCACCTGATAAAAATGTTTTTACGTTGGTTAAATTGGCAAAAATCTTGAAGATTTGAATTAGTGTTATTAACACTATTTACCCAGTACTGTACAGATACTGGCGTCTCTCGGTTGCTGCACTGGTTGCTGTGGTCGATGTCATCGTGATTTGTGTATGGTGCACAAAGTGGTGCCCAAACAGTTTCTGTTTTGATTTGTGTTAGCTATATAGAATATAGAATATAGGGAAAATAAATCATATATGTTCATGTATTATGTTTGAAAAAATTATAAATAAAACTGCAAAATGCTATTTGTTTTTTTAATTTTTGCCAACAAAAATGTTTGCGACATCCCCCTTCATGATAGATCAGAGGCTAGATCAACTAGACGATAAACAATGGTGGGCAAACCAGCTCAATTCAGTGCATCGGAAAGAAAACGAAGAAGAAAAAAGCAGAAAGAATATTATATGAGAAACTCCCGCTTAAGTTTACAAGGAATTACCATGGCAGCCACAATAATTTTGCCAATGCCTCGTTTACCGCAGATGTTCGCTATATTGGCTAGCACGCAAGAGTTTCGAATTAATGGCGGTTGTGTTTGTGTTGAGCGTTTGGTTACATCGAATGCACCGGCAAATTAGGGAGTATAAAGAAGGTATATAAGCATGAAAAGTAAACAGAAACACTAATTGTATTTTCATACATTTTATTTTGTACAAATAACACACAAATATACTACTTGCTGGTGCTAGAAATTCGTGACGTAGACAGTTTAAGTTAAGGAGGGAATGTTCCCCCTTCTTTTACACCTCTTATCTTGACATTTGACCTTTGACCCCAAGCTTCGACATCCTAACTCGTTTTTCGGATTACCCCCCTATATCCTGACTTTCGAATCCGTACGTCAAGCCGTTTAGACTTGTGCCCAACTGTTGACGGACAGACGCACGCACGGACAATGATGCGATTCTACAAGCTCCATCAAACAATCGAAAATCGGATGCACTACACGGATTGGTGCATAGAATGTGATAACAAGAGCCGCAGAGCGACTGGGCTCATCTGAGGTCTGTTGCAACGGTTATAAACGTAACATTTCAGTCGTGCGTAGTGACAACTTTGTTAGGCGCAGATATGCAGATACACAGTTGCGTACACATCATTTCAGCAAACATTTTTTTTATTGCAGAGAGAGAGCGAGGGAGAGGAAGAGAGAGAGGGGGACGAGAGAGAGAAAGAGAGAGAGAGGGAGAGAGAGAGAGAGAGAGAGAGAGAGAAAGAGCGCGCGAGAGGAGAGAGAGGGAGAGTCAGTCAGACTAAATTGTTTATAAACAAACTAGCTGCGGGTACCCGCTGCGCTGGGTAAAATCGTGCTACTAATTCATACTACTAATAATGGGACACAATAGGAACATTGGGTAAAAATCAACAATAACATTGCACACAATATGAATATTTAGAAATCAGTGTAATAAGATAATAAGCATGGGAAAACTGTTACGTATGACATTTATATGACAGCACAACCCAACTTAGAACCCCTGGAACAGGGGGGAAAACTGTTACGTATGACATTTATATGACAGCACAACCCAACTTAGAACCCCTGGAACATAATAGTGATATGGTGTAAATGACAAAAAGTTATTATAACAGCAAGAGTCTCGAACTGTTGAGCTCCCCACGTACGGCATGCACGTACGGCACGTAACAGCATGTACGAATGGGTTGCGCTTCTCATTTCANAACAACGTGGAGAGAATGTACATGCAACAATGTGGAGAGAATGTACATGCAACAATGTGGAGAGAATGTACATGCAACAATGTGGGGAGAATGTACATGCAACAATGTGGAGAGAATGTACATGCAACAATGTGGAGAGAATGTAGATGCAACAATGTGGAGAGAATGCACATGCAACAATGTGGAGAGAACGTACATGATAACAACGTGGAGAGAATGTACATGCAACAATGTGGAGAGAATGTACATGATAACAACGTGGAGAGAATGTACATGATAACAACGTGGAGAGAATGCACATGCAACAATGTGGAGAGAATGTACATGCAACAACGTGGAGAGAATCTACATGATAACAACGTGGAGAGAATGTACATGCAACAATGTGGAGATAATGTACATGCAACAATGTAGAGAGAATGTACATGCAACAACGTGGAGAGAATGTACATGCAACAACGTGGAGAGAGTGCACATACAACAACGTGGAGAGAATGTACATGATAACAATGTGGAGAGAATGTACATGCAACAACGTGGAGAGAACGTACATGCTAACAACGTGGAGAGAATGTACATGATAACAACGTGGAGAGAATGCACATGCAACAATGTGGAGAGAATGTACATGCAACAACGTGGAGAGAATCTACATGATAACAACGTGGAGAGTATGTACATGCAACC